TCCTTCCTTCCTTCCTTCCTTCCTTCCTTCCTTCCTTCCTTCCTTCCTTCCTTTGTTCAATTTCTTCTCAGTGTATGCGAAGAGCCAAACTGCCTATCATAAAGTTGCTCATTGTCACCTTTTGGAGCCTTTCAGTTACAATTCTGCCTAACACCCCTTCCCTTCCCTTCCCTTCCCTACCCTTCCCTTCCCTTCCCTTCCCTTCCCTTCCCTTCCCTTCCCTTCCCTTCCCTTCCCAACTACTGGCATTTCCATGACACTCTGCTCCAAAGCAGTTCTGAGTCCTGTGCAATAAAAATAAAGGTTAAAAGCAACAAAACGCTGACAAAAAGTATTACAATAAAACTAATCAGGGGAGGTAGATCGTAAAATAAAACCTAAAATCCCCCAAATGTTTTCTTTCACCTCTTTTCAGACACTCAGTAGGGAAGAGACAGTTTTCTGTGTTGAGGCCATTTTTTTCACCAGAGGGATGCTATCATTGAGAAGATGCTGCAGATGTAATTCCTTCAGCAGAACTTCTCTCCCAAATCTTATAAGATCTCACTTAACTTAAGGCCCCAAACTATGTAGGGCTTTAAAAGGTGGGAACCAGCACCTTTAAATGCACCTGGAAAACACTGGCACCCAGTGCCCTTCCTGGAATAGAGGTATTAATGAGCAAATCTCAAGGGCCCAACACTAACTGGGCTTCTGAGTGGGCTTCAACAGCAACCCCATGTAAAGCAAGTTGCAGTAGTTCAGTAGTTCAGTCATGAGATGATGAGGGCCTGAGTGTGCCTCCTGGTCCAGGAAAGGTTGCAACTGGTGCGTAAGTGTAATTGTGCAAAGGCTCTCCTGGCCAGAGCCTCAAATTGCTGTTCAAGTAGGAACCTTAAGTACAATGGTGAGCCAATTCCATCCAAGGGAGCATGAGCCCATCTGGAACTAAAGGAGAAGATTTCTGTAACCACAGCCACTCCTTGCTAAGATTCAGTCTGAGCCTGTCCTTCCTATCCAAACCCTAACAGTCTCCAGGCATCCAGTCAGTATCTTCACTGCATCATCTATCCAGCCAGAGGTGGAGATCTACAACTGGGCATTATCCTCATGTTGATGATACCTTGCCCCATGCTGATATATGGCCTCACGCAGTAGCTTCATGTAGATATTAAACAGTAGGAGGAAAAGGACTGAGCCCTGCAGCACCACCACCAACTAAAACTTACGAAGGATGAGAACCACCAAAGGACATTGATCACCGTTCCCAATATTTGCAAGTGGACCAGAAGGCTGATGGTATTGAAGACTGTTAAAAAGTCAGGCAAGACCAGGAGGGTCACACTACCCCTACTGCAGTTTCACCAGAGGTCATCAAACAGGGTGACCAATGCAGTTTTGGTATCATACCCAGATCTGATCTGATGGATAAGGTTCTAGGTAATCCATTTCCTCCAGGAATCTCTATAGCTGTGCACCTGTTACTTCTTCACCGTATTTCCTAAAAAAAGAAGGTTGTCCAAGGTAGCTTGATTCTTGAAAAGGGGACACCGGGAAAAACTTCTCACTCAAGGCCCATAGGAAGCACCCTCTCCCAATTCATATACCCAGCCCCCCATTACTGCACAGGCTCTCAGCAGAACACTTTGTCCACTTCCTCACTGACTCAAACTGATGTCGGATAGCTACACAGTTCTTCCAACTGTCAGGCACAGATGCAGCTTTCCCACATGCGCTCCATAAGCAACCATCCACTTTTAACATTTCTCCAGTGACATTATCATGATCTACAGCCTTACCACTACTCAACATTCTCATAGCATTTATAATTTCCTTTTACTATTTTTTCTTGCATACTAACATTTATAACCTCCATTTTAATTCTACTCTTTGACCTATCATTATAATTTCCATACAAATCTCTAAAATAGTCCTTTCACCATTTCTTTACTTGAGTTTCATCCCAGATTATTTAATCACTTTTATTCTTAGTTCCATTCACTCTGTTAGAGTCTCCTTGTTTTTTGCTCTTCGCCAACTTTCAAAACAATGTTTGATTTGGATCAAAACTGATCTGAATTTGTTTTTGCCTTTTAACCTTACTGTTTCTGAGACTACATTCTCTGAGAATCTTTTTCTCTAGATACATATGCTACAATAGTTTTCAACCTCATTTTTGTTGCAATCATTCCCCCACATTCTTTTTCATATTTCCTTATTGTGTAACTCCACATATTTCTGTGGCGCCCTGTAATGTAATTCTTTTCACTCTGTTCTAAGCAGCTTCCACTTCCTCTTTTCTTACATCCACTCCCCATTAATTTTGTTTGTCCCCTTAGGTGCAGGGTCCGCTTCTTCTGCACTGCACTCACACCTGGTTCTTACACCAAAGCTTAGCAATACCCAGTGCAAAAAGGGTTCTTGTCTTCCAGCCAACAGGTTTGGTCTGAAGAGTGACTGGTCCAGGGTCACCCAGCTGGCTTCCATGCCCAAGGGAGCACTAGAACCTGGGTCTCCCTATGCCTAGTCCAGCACCTTCACCGCTACACCATGCTGGCTTCTGGTCCAATTGTTCTTAAAATGTCTGTGTTGATCCTATTAGAATATTGGAACCTATACTGTAATCACCCTGCTGGTTCTGAACACAGAGGTTAACTATGCCATATTTCATAAAAAGAGCTGCTCTTCAACATTGAAATAGAATAGAATAGAATAGAATAGAATAGAATAGAATAGAATAGAAATAGAAATAGAATAGAAAT